AGGGTTGAAACCGGATCCAGAAAATATCAGAGCCACAAACGAGATGTGTCCCCTCCCCCACAGATGCAAAGGCGGTTAGCAGGCTAAATGGAATGGTCAGCTACTTGAGCCGTTTCCTTCCACGACTGACCGATGTGATGATACCGATTTGGAAGTTGACCCATAAGGATGAAGCTTGGCACTGAGGCTTTGAACAAGGAAATGCGTTTAGGAAGATCAAGGAATTAATTACAAAGGCGCCTGTCCTTGCCTACTTTGGTCCATCGCTTCCACTCGAGATTCAGTATGACAGTAGCCAGTACGGCATTGGAGCTGTGCTTACGCAAAGCGGCAAGCCCGTCGATTTTCACAGTCGTGCGCTCACAGAGGCCGAGCGTCGTTACGCACAAATTTAAAAGGAAATGCTGGCGCTTGTTTATGCCGTAGAACGCTTCGATGACTATAGTTCGGCCACAAAAGAACTGTCTTCACTGACCACAAGCCGCTTGTATCCATCGCTAGTAAGCCACTCAATGTCGGTCCACGCCGCCTACAAAGGATGCTCATTCGTCTGCAGAAGTATGACTTGGATATAGTCTACCGACTAGGATCCCAGATGTACATTGCGGACACGTTGTCAAGGGCGCACCTGTCAGACACTGCAACTGGAAGAAGTCCCGGATTTTGTCCACGCAACCCAGCTGATCGCGGTCACTAAGGAACCTTCGCAGCAGCTCCAACGGTGCACGGAAGAGGACGAACAGTGCAAGCTACTGAGGTAGGCGATAATAGACGGATGGTCCGAAGGTAAGAAAAAATTGCCCAGTGTGTTAACTCCGTTCTTTCATTTACGCGACGAACTCATCACCCAAGACGGATTAATATTCAAAGGCCACAGGATAGTAGTTCCGAAGGCATTACAACGTTCATTGCTACAGATGACACACTATGCACATTTGGAATCAACAATTGCGTATCGAGAGCACGTGCACTGATATTCTGGCCAGGAATGACTAGCCAAATACGTGCTTACGTATCACACTGTTTAACATGCAGCACACACGATGGGCGGCAGCCGAAGGAGCCAATGATGCTTCATGACGTTCTGAATAGGCCTTGGCAGCTGATCGCATTGGACATTTTTGTTCATGATGGGAAGGGCTATTTGATTGTGGTCGACTATTTCGGTGACTACTTCAAGATTGATGCCCTTACGTCAACCTACACGTAAGTCGTAGCGAACAAGTTACAGTGTCAATTCGCTCGACATGGAATCCCCGAGGTGGCGATTTCCGACAACCGACCGCAATTCACTAGTGCAGAATTCCGCGCTTTTAGCAAGAAGTTGGAATTTCGACATCGGCTCATCAAATGGGAGGGCTGAGTTAACAGTGAAGGAGGCGAAAAAAGCATTTACTAAAGCCAAGGAGACCCACGCGGATCACTACATAATGCTGTTAAAGCGAAGAAACACGCCGTCTACTGCGATCGGAGTAAGTCCGGTGCACCGACCATTCGGCTGCAGAACAAGAACACTGCTACCGGCCGCTATAATGCTGCTACAGCCCGAGATAGCACCGGATGCTCCTGTACACAACCGACTACGGAAAAGAATGCTAAAACAAAAGAAGTACTATGAACGTGGATCGAGATGTCTCTCAGCCTTAGCTGTAGGAGATGAAGTATGGATGCAATGAATACCAGATTCGGGAGAATGTTGACGGAGGCGAGTGATTGAGGGTCGCAGGAGTGAAAGGAGCTACGAAGTCAGGATAGGGAGCAACATCATTAGACGGAATCGGGTGCAAATTAGGAGAACACGTAATGGACGGACTCCGCAAAGCGAGGATCGGCAGCAGCAACAAGAAAGGGTACCTGAAACCTCAGCCCGAGACAGCAAGCGTACGCGCAGCGGAAAACCGTACGGAACTTATTGCAACAACCTATTTAATCACCCAGCTAATTGTGCTTTGCTTCAGACTTGTGAATAGAGCGTTTGTGTGCTGAGTCTAAGCGAGTTCTTTCTGTTGACGCGGATGGGTGAACCAGGCGCACAATATTGCTCACCTCCAGCGAATGAGCCATAATGATGATGCGACGATTCAATCTCTCTTCTTCCGTTGATTTCTATGGTTTTGTTTAACTCTGTCCATTCGCTAGACTGTTACTACAACATTGGATCGGAATGGCGGCATCCGTGTCCGGCTTTGCCTGTCACTGCGGCCTCCATGGGGATAGCCACAGGACGCTTCGGCCTTTTGTGGGGCCATGGGGGGCTTGCACTACACCACCCACAGTTCCATCCGCACACTCCACATTCACTGCATGTGGATGGGAGTCAGGTTTCATTAACGGAGCCGACCGGCACTCTTTCAGCATGCACAGCAGGAACACTCCTCACATACACAATGCGGTGGTGGATCTGTAGCCCTTTCCACACGGGTTGCAACCACTCTTTGAGCCTTGCACCGTCACGAGGACGGCGCATCCCACCCCCGGCAATGATTGTTAGTGTCTTGGAGCCGCTAATCGAGGTGGAAGGTGTTATACAGGTGAACATCTTGTCAATATTTAAAGAGTAACCAGGCGTTACATGCTACACTGGAGATTTCCTGTGTCAAGCGCACGTCCGAAAGACAGTTGAGTTTAACCCGACTGAGACGACGCGCACCTTATATACTTCGTCAGCCTTTATCTTTGCAAATGCACACGCACTGCAAATCTAGCATCACTACATGTATTCACATGTATTTGTCCACACTTGTGCTTGAACTGTCACTAGCTGAATGTTGAAATATTAACCCTCATGGACAGTAATACTACGAACGTGCATGGGTTTAAATTGGAGGTTTGACTAACAGCTGAAAATGCGCCCATATGGGTGCATAAAGTTTATTTTGACTTGACCTTGCATACATATCTTCTGCGACGGCCAGAACATCAAGTAATTGTCAGGAGAGTCATTGCATTTCGTTGGCAGGATATTGTCGGATGATTGCTCAGACATAGACAGGAAAACGATTAAGGTTCTCAACCAAAGCTTTTGGTTCAAGAGCCTGACTGCAACGCAGCGGGGTTTTGCCACTGGGGTTCCGAGTCCGTTTTATGAGGTAAGGAGCCACCCTCACTCCAATCCCCTATCTGGCGGTCTAGGAGACTGATATTATCTAGCATCTAACCATTGACCAGTCTGTTATGAGTGGCGCTGTAGTTGCAAAAACCCCACACAGCATAGCTCAGTGGATCGCCGAGGCACGCAAACCATCACACAATGTTAAAATGCAGTCACGTCGCGATGGAGAAGCACCGTCTAGAGATTAGGCCTCTTTTCAGCATTTCCGTTTATGCTCCTACTGTCTGTAGTTTTAAAGGTATCAAAGACATTTATATTGTGAATTCCGACTTTTCCACATGTCGAAGAATACCAACATCTTGATTGTTGCCGATGACATGAATGCTCGGATGAACATTCACTCTTCCATGCATGTTATGAGGCATTGGGAATCGCTACGGATGATCGCTCGATTCACACGCTTCGCACCAGTTCCACTAGTCAAAAGCAAAATAGCGGACCTTCAAGCAGGAGATTTAATGCAGAAAACTAAACCGATGACAACAGTCGTCCAGCTGGAAGGAGTTACAGATTGGGGAGTTCAACGTGCACCAGCTGAAAAGGAAATGCGACGATACATAGTGCAGTATCCCACACCGAAACAAATAAATAAGTAATTTATGCTCAGATGCATCGAGGCACACCAAATAAAATATGATCAAAATTTTACAGGCACTTATGTGTCTCAACAGGCACGTTGCATTACATGTCATGGGGAGAGGGATGAAATGCATAGGATGTACAGAAATGGAAAGTACCGGTGAGGACAAACTCGTTTGTGATGTGACGATAGACTGGGTTCATGTGTGTTTACTGTAGAGATCTAACATAAAAGCCTAAAAAGTGGAGTGGTGACGAAATGTGCAGACATGGAAGTAACTTGTAGTGTACCTATAACTAATGTTGAAATGTGGCTCTGGTCAACTTACTTGTGCGAAGTTGGGGCTGTGACTTTATTCAGTGGTGAATCACCTCTGCCACAGCTTTTTAGAGCGATGAAATTGGCGCCGACGTAAAGATATTGTGCATTTTGCTTCTCATAAGATGGTCTCGAAAATGAGTCACTCAAAGAAATCAACTATTACATCACGTACTCCAAATTGATCAACAGTCGTGGGCCGATATGCGCCATCTGTAGCTGATGACATTTTAGAGGAATTCGGTCCAGATCCTGAAGGAATTCAGTGGACGCCAGGTGACACTGAACATTTAGTTTAGAAGGCAACACTGCGAATATAAGGATTGTGGTCGGCACGCAGCTATGGATATCGTCCGCCATTGCCTGTTCGATATGCGCCGTCACAATTGTTGTTCATGTTAAGTCAAGTCAGGAATATGTTTTCATGTGCGCAAAATGGGCGAATTTTCCTCGTAACCGGCAGCAGTGGTGCGTCTAGCGTCGTTCCGCAGTCGCACTGCCTGTTTAAAGCGTGTTTGGTGCCGAGTTATCTTCGGAGTAATGGCTGGTTATAACGCAGGGTAGTGAAATCTGCCGCCCTATGTTTACACAATATCCAGGTATTTGTAACGGTGTTCTTGACAACGTGTAGGCAGCTTGATCCTTAATGTTCGTTTAGGGCATTTAGGTCTTACGCTAGACACGCCTTCCCTTCATGTTGTTATTTTTCGTTCTGTCGTTCATTGTGCTGCTACAACAGCGGGGCACCAGTTCACATGGCTGGTGCTGCTTCTGCTATCGGCGAACAACCACTGGAGATGGCGGATCTGCCCAATTACCTTGGTAATAATCTACATTATTTTTAATTCTGGTGTTACGGAATTGCTGTTAATTTTATCTAACGCTTCTAACTTTTCCTTCACTTAATTCCAGTTCCAGCTCCTGCATGAACTTGCGATCCCAGTAGTCTCCCACAGAGCTTGCGACTACTTAAATTACATCTCGTTTCCAGTTTCAGCTCGAATGACAGATGACAGCACCAAAGCTATCGTTCTCTTTTTCAAAACAGAAGAAGAGCCTTATTGTGCCGCCTACCACTTCTCAGGTTGGACCAAATTCCGATAAAACACCGATACGTGAATATGTCACTTCAATCGAAGATAATGTCATTAAGCGAGTTCTGTGCTAAAATCACTTTTATTCTCACAGATCTGAAAGCGTTTCTAAAACACCGCCCATTGTCGTTCCCTTGATTATTAACCGGAATGGAATCCAAAGTCGACTTAGAACTAAACACGCAAAAGTTGAGCCTTCCGATGAACTCACGAGGCAGGCTCTGAATGAACTCCAATCAGGTAACTATTTTCACCGTTGTTGCTCACTTATCAGAGGCTCGTGGAGAACACATACATGAATCTTCAAACACCAGCGCTTTCATGGTTTCATTAGTCGGTTCAGCCTCGGCACCGGACGAAGTAATGACTTGCTTATTCACTTTCCTCTGTAGGTCGAAGATGTAAACTATGATGCGGTGCCTGTTGAGAAATTTGGCTTGGCTGTTTTGGCCGGCATGGGCTTTAACCCGGAGGAATTGAAGTCCACCAAAGAGTAGTGTTACTTTACACGTGCTCTCTCATCACTAATCCTCCCTTCCACTAGCGAGCCGCTTGGACCTACTAGACCCAAAGGACTTGGTTTGGGTGCAGATCCTCACGCTGTTCGAGCTGCAAGACAAGATTCTAAATCGGGTTCCGGCGAACAGTTGTCTTGGAGCCCAGGGGCACATTGTCAGGCTATTCTTGGGAAACACAAGGGACAATATGGAATCGTGAGCATGTCTTTAATTGCCTTTCTCTCCAGGTCCTTCAACATTGGATTCACACATTTGCCGCAATTTCCTGCTCTGCTCGTTTTTTTCCCAGTTCACGTTGTGGCTGTTGCTGGTGAACCGAAGCTGAGCCTATCCAACTTAGTCCATGAGACGTGGTTTTCTGCTATCCTCCTTTTATTATGGCTCGTGATCACCCCATACTAGAACCGTAGGTTGCATATGGAGCTGATAGTGGGAATTGAGGCGAAATTATCTAGATGGACTACCAGAGCGTTTGACACTTATACCGTATTAGTATAACATCTGTCAGGTGGCTATACACTTCGAGAAAGCACCGAGGTTGGTTAGCGTAGCTTATTGTGGCCAGAGCCAATCATCTGATCATCACACGCTTGAGACAGCACCACATGGCTGTCTCGTCCCCTTGGCACTTTCCCTTTTACTCGTTGTCTCATTTTATCTCAGGCCCCTAATGGTTTTGTTGACCAGCGCACACTTCTTTCCACTTCAGGGATGGTTTTTATCCCCGCTTGCGGTGACAGATTTATCTTATCTTAATTACCTGAGTAAGAGTTGCGTCGTTAAATTCCAAGTTAGCAATCGAGCATGTATGACAATTGTTCCTATCAGTTGGGACCTGATGCTTTCAGCTCGGCTTATCGTTCAACATTATGATATGCCACTATTCTTCTTTTTTTCCGTTTCGTTGTTGCTGTCTCAATAAGGCGGATGAAAGCAGTCACGTGCTTTCAAAACGCTATTTCTCTTTTGAAAGATACCCATATATTACGTCAAGCTCAGAAAGAAAGCAGAAACACGCTGCTTTAAGCAAACAGTTGTTCTCGATTAATTCTACCTCAAGCTTATACATTAATACATAGGGTAGGGTTAGTTGTGATCGTCAGTATAACAAAAAACGGTTGATTGGATAATTCGACCTATGCTGATGATGTCAATTCTCTGATCACGCGATTGAGGTCAGGTGGGTTTATGGAGTACGGCTACCTCTTTTTCTTCTGATGGTCGGCCACGGGAGTTGCAGTTATCGTACCATTTTCTTCTGAACACACAGGTCGTTTGTTAGCCGTATGCCTACTGCTTTCGCAGTTGTAAGTGGATTTACTCTTACTCGACGGTTATGCTTAAGCAATATTCCTCAGAGAATCAGAAATTTATTTTATCTGTTCATCTATTGACCGGTGTTGATTACATGGTCTGTAATTCTGCTGTGACTTGTTCTATCTTCGTGATTGAAGAGCCAACTTTGATGGTGCTTCTTGATTCTCTTATCTGGCTAACACCTTCGTTCAGAAGAAAGGGGTACAATCACTGCAACTCCCGTGGCCGGCCATCAGACTGGAAGAAAGTGACCGCACTTCCCAAACCCATCTGACCTCAATCACGCGATCATGATGACAGGTCAATTTATCTAATCAATTGTTTCTTTGTTACACTGACGATTACAACCAATCTCATTCTACAGTTTATTAATGTATAAGCATGAGGAAGAACTAATTGATAATTATTGTTCACTTAAAGCATCGCGTTTTTATTCTTCTTTCCGAGCTTGACGTAAAAAACTATTTTCTCACCTTGGGTTACCAGAGCCTTCAGGCTAAACATTCGTCATTCAATTTGCAACTCAACGTCGTTTGATCCCAACCACTGTTAGGTATGTAATTGCACATCAGTCATGGTTAATGGTACCGAGACGATTCCGAACTGCATGCGGCTACCAGCCTTCGTTTTCTTATCGTGTCTCTCAAATTGTTGTAGCGATATAACTGCCAACCAACTAATAACGTACCTGAAGGCATACTTTTTTTGCTCTATTGACATGTTCCTGATTGCATACATCTGTAAGTCGTCCTAGTAGACATACTTGGAAACGTGGTTTCTATTCGCGTCGTTTCGTCCTTAGTGTATTTTCCTTATCCAGGCTGTTAAATACTTCTTTCTGTCTGGGTCTCTTTCCTCCAGGTGAATGGAATCGATGGAGACACCGGTAGGGTGGTTGTCAAATTCACGATATCCAAAGAAATTGTTCCTATTCTTCAACCAATGCTGCGTTTGGTTCGGAAAGAAGAATACAATAAGTATGCCAACTGCTTGAGTAAGTGTATTCTCAAACGACGCACTAGTAACCTCAAACACCACATTGTTTCTCCATTTTTCATGGCATGTCCAATCCACTCGCCTCACCATTCATGTATTTCCTTTCAAAGGACCGTTTCTACCAGTTATTTTTTCATTTGTCCCCTGGTTTTGGTTTGCGTGTTTTTTATTCATGAAATTGCGTTAATTTTTTCTCATTATTCTGCTTAGTGAACCTTTTCACAAACTGACGGATATTTTTCAAAAGCGGCTAAAATGCTCAGCATTCATGCTTGATACAAGTCGCTAATTGATCTCATTGGGAAAATACACTGTTTTCGCGACCATTTCTGTGACAGTTCTTGAGAGCCTCTATTTATCGGTTACCCCTCAGTTTTAAACGCTTCCCGTTGATTCCACGCCTAAAGCTAGGTGTTTTGGTTTCGCTCCATTTTTCTTTGACCGGGTGATTACTTCATTTTTCGGGGATACTCATTGGGGAGCAGTTGTAGTCAATACGCATATATATATATATATATATATATATATATATATATATATATATATATATATATATATATAGCGTCATGCCTTTCCGTATTACCTGTCATAGAGACTGCGAACAGCCACACGACACCTACGTCTACTGTGGGTCCATGAGTGGTTAGCACTGCACCACCACATCATCATTATCAATAATTGTTTGCCGAGTGTGAGAAACACACCTTATCTAATGTGCCACAATACAATAGGATAAGAGGCCCAGCATTACAGACTACAATAGCTAAAAAGTAACATAATGCTAAAATCACATATACGTTGGTCTTGCGACCGCTGTTCGAGAGAAGCTATAGAGGAGGGGATGGACGAAGAGACCCACAACGCGAATGCCATTGATGTCGGCTCTTCACCATGTCAACTATTCTATCCAACCAAACGTGTTAATCGTCCTTAGGACCCCAAGCCAGGCAGTCGGGGTGCACCAACCGACGCCAACTTCGAAATGAGGGTTATCATCTCTCTCGACCAAGTCATCGCTTGGCCTTCCCTCCTCCTCTCCCAACTACACCCCTGGCGCACAAACAATGCACGTCGCGGGAGTCGGTGTGCTTGTATGCGCAACACGTGGCCCAGCCATCGGAGCCTGGTGCGTGACGTAATGGTGCTGAGCGGTTCACTCACTCTTCCTGCATCAAATACACGTCGCCGAACACGTTCATTGTTCACGCAGTGCTCCCACCGGACATGATCTAAGCTGCGAAGGCAGCGTTGATCGAACGTGACGAGCTTCTTTATCTCTGTCGACCTGTTTGGCCAGTTTTCACAACCGTATAGTGGGGTTGTACGGACGGCTACATTGTAAACTCTGCCCTTCAGAGCGATACTGATGTCACCCCGGTGCCACAGATGGCGGAGATTGGCAAAAGCATCATTAGCTTTCGCTATACAATTCGGGACCTCGTCTGCAATCCCACGGGCGCTAATATAGCTGTCCAGATGCCTAAATGCCTGGACGATGTCTAGCTGATCACCACCATGGATTCGCGCAGGGGTTGGTCTCTGCCAATCTTGAAGAACCTTGCATTTCGAGAGTGCATAGCATAGCCCGAAACAACTGACAGCCAGAGATTATTTATCCAGGGCAACTTTGCACCTTCGGAACTGTCACACATGAGCACAATGTCGTCGGCATACTCCAAGTCAAAAAGCCGGTTACCTGGGAGCAATTCCACACCTTCTAAGTTGTGCCCGGCGATCACCGTTTTCATAACTTTGTCATCGGCGAACCTAAAGAGGAAAGCTGACAGCGCGCAACCTTGTTTCACACCGCTGGCGATTTCGATGGGCAGCGAAAGTTGGCCGGAAACTCTCACTCTGCTCGAACTATGCGCGTACAGCTTACCTATTTCTCGGGCACACTTCCTGAGTCGGCAGTCCTAAAGGGCATATCGATAAACCGAATTGAAGGTATTCTTGATGGCTAGACACACGGCTACGGTGGGTCGCCAATGAATCCAGCAGTGCTCCAGCAATTGATGTAATGGGAAATTGTGCTCAATACAAAATCAATTTTAACGAAGCCCGACCTGCTTCTTTCGCATGTCTTTCACGAGTGCCAGTCAGTCTATGGAGGACGACAGAGGTAATTTACATAGAGGCAGTTGAGATCAGATTGATTCCTCGATGGCTAATGCATTCCAAAGGGCAGCCTCCCTTGAAAATTGGGGCGATAATGGAGCGGCTCTAGTCTGTCGGGATGGACTCCTGTTCCCATAGATTTAATAGTAAATTATGTAACTCGTCCAAAAGAGCAGGTTTCCCGAACTTGTAGAAAGCTGAATCAACATCCACTCCGCAGCCGTGATCAGTTTCAGCCGTCTGATCTCACCTTCGATTTCTGCGCGTGTGGGCGGATCCAGGGAGTGGCCTAAGGAGAAGGGCGATCATTGACCAATTGAGAAGCTAGCAATTTTGACTGAATTGTTTCTGAAAGTGTTTGGCCCAACGCTCCAAGCTGTGGATCGACTGTCCACTCTCGTCGCATATGGTCTCGCTAACACCAGTTCTGCTGCCGGTTTCTCATATCAGACGGAATAACTTCCTATGATTACCAAGGGCGGCGGCTGTCTCCATCTTCGATTCACGATGAGGCCACCAGGCTTCACGGTCTCTGCCGAGACTATCACGCAGTTTCGCCATGAGATATTCGCGAGTCCCATTTTATTCGCTTCCGGCCGGAACGCCTCTGCGAGTATCCTTATGTTCCAGAGACTGTGTGGAGACCCAGTGACTAGGTTGGCGAGTTGATTTGCTACATGAAGACATGCCTGCTACTAATAACGTCCGGCGGATATGCGACCAGTGATCTTCAACTACGTTCAGTGAACGCTTACTCAGCTCGGAGGCCAGGGTGCTTTACTACGCATCCAGAACATCTGACTTCTCCAGTTGGAAGATATCTATGCGCTTACAGCACCATTGCGGACGTACACCGAAAAGCACCCGCACGTTAGCGCAGGCAAGTGCGTGGTCAGGGCCCGCGCTCGTAGTCCAAATCGAGCGAATGTTTGAACACAACCTCTCCAGCGGTAACTGGTTGCAATGTAATCTGTTTGCTTCTGTGGCTGCTCCGAGGCTAGTGCGCACCATCTCACCCTTCTGTGGGTGCTATGTCGAAAATTAGTGCTCGCGAGAAAGAGACGAGCATCTTCACATATGTGTAGCAGCCGCTCACCGTTATCAGTATGGGAGCCTACACCATGTTGCCCACCCAGATGACGCTCTTCAGTGGACAGTTTTCCGACTTGGACATTCAAATCACCAGCCAGCACCACAGTGTCTGTACTTTTTTCTGTAACGGAGGAGCGCGTTAAGTCAGCGCTACACTTTGTGAGTTCGTAGGCCGCAGTGACAAACAAGCCCCATTTGTCTGCGCGCGACTTCGAAGCTTTGAACGAGCCGGCCAGTATGACGGCGCACATCCGGCTGTTCATTGGGATCCAGTCGATCAGGGAAGCTTCAGCCCAGGGGTTAAGAGCAATACAAACACCGGCTCGACCGGCAGGCGAGTCTATGATAAGCAACGGATAACCCTGTGGGGAACTGAAAAGCTGGAGAAAATACAGCATATCGCAACTAGAATGATACCAAGTCTACGAAAACTTCCATATGAAACGTTGTAAAAGGCTCGGACTCTACACACTATCCTACCGCCGAGTAAGAATTGACTTAAATATGATACATCGAGTACTACACTTGAATCACTTCCCCATACTGCGGCCAATATTTCACCTGCGGGAACCCTGTAACACCCGAGGACACCGTTACCAACTCAGGGTCCCCTGCATGAGCCAAGTATCACATCAGCTTTGTGTAGAACGAAGAATCGTAAACTCGTAGAATACAATACCAGAAGGATTAATAGAGGCCGATTCTGTGAAGTGTTTTAAAACACGTATCGATGGTTATTTCGGAAACCTGTGCTTTTGTGAAGCGATGTACATAGAATGCCAAAAGAAGATATCGTATGCCCGAAAACAATGACACCAATACAAATTCCTAACCTAACAAAGATAAACGATTAACTGACCAAACACAACCGCTGACGATTCACAACTAAATGCTTCTGATTTTCCATAATTCGATAGAGTTGTATAGAAACCTTTCTACTTGCTCTTAAATACAGTCTCAGTCTCAAATATTGTATGTGATAAACCTGGAGTGTATTTCATTGACTTTTCAATCATACTGCCGAGTTGAACTCGCTTCCAATGCCTTATGGGTCAGGCCATAGAGCGGTGGTGTTACTCAAACGAACCTCCATGTACTCCACTGTCGTGTGAGTCGGACTTTCGAGTCAGGATAGAGGTCGAGCATCTCGAACGAAATCCATCTTCCGGAATTGGCAACTGGAGAATATCATCCGCTCTCTCGATGCCGTCGACAACAGTCCCACTAGTTCTTGTTTTTATTCCTCCTCAACTCTCCTCTTCCTTGTATATTTAGTGAGAGACTGTCACTGACCTCACAGCTCTTATCATCATCCTTATAAGCATCATCATTACCCAGTAATTAAAGGTGAAAAACACACTTCAGCTATTGCGTACGGACACAGTTGCTAATATGGCGAAGAGCCGGACTCAAAGGCGTTTATGTTGTGCGTTCTTTTCCCCACCCCTCCCCTCAGGATTCCCCTTCAACTACAATCTCATACCAAATGTATATGATATTTAACATTATAGTACTCGCTTTTTGAATTTTATGTAATCTGTAATTTTTAGTGTTGTATCTTCTTTTCTTGCGGCACACTAGCTAAAGATGTGCTTCTCGCTCTCAGCTAACGTGCGTTGATGATGCTAATGGGCAGCAATAAGATCCATAAAACTGAGATATACCTCATAAATGTTACAAAGATAAAACAGGAACATGACATTAAGTATCATATCATTCACGGAGTGTTAGATCGTGCTTGCAGTGGAAAGCTAAGCCAGGGAGAGGTGCAAAGAAGAGCGGACAACATAAATACCATTAAGGCCAGCCATTCGCCATGTCAGCAAGTGTATCAAACAAAACGTGTTCATCATCCTTAGAAACGCATCCTGGCAGTCGGGAGACACCAATCGACGCCAAGTTTAAGTGGAGGTCTTTATTCCTCTTGACAAATTCATCGGTTGGCTTCCCCTCCTCTTCCTCCACCCACACTCCGGTCGCAGCAACAACGTACGTCGTGGGTGTCGGTTTTGGCATGCGCAACGCTTAAACCAAGTCATCCGATCCTGGTGCGTGATATAACGGCGTCGAGCAGTTCACTCGCATTTCCCGCACCAAAAACACGATGCTGAAGGCACTCGTTGCTCATGCGGTGTTCCCACCGGATCTGCCCCATGCGAAGGCTGATGTCGCACTCATGATGCTTCTTCACCGTGGTAGGGCTAAACCAACTTACACTTAAACTAGGTCTTTTTAAACTGGATACATTTCATTCCACTTTATATATATATATATATATATATATATATATATATATATATATATATATATGCAACGGCGTCACTGGGTAGAACTGCGTAGTTTGCGTTGACACGTAACAGCGCCTTCAATGAGTTGAGCTCAGTTGTTACCTGTGCAGTCTGATTCGACGCATGGCGACAATATTGCTGAGGCAAACCATGCGCAAGTTTCGCGAAGCTGTGCGAGCTCCGCAACATAGCGTTTCGGCGGACCAACGTAACAAATGTACCGGAGAATTGAGGTCACTGTAGGGAACCGGTTGAACTAACATGGGTAGCTTCATTTGCGACGAGAGTTTGATACACATTTTCAAGCAGAACAGGAGGGTAAAGTTATTTTGACCATCGCCCATGATCGAAGTATAAGCTCGCCTCCGCCTCACTTCTTGTCTTTTTGACATTGGTCAACCACCGTCTTTGATTTGCTCAGGGCTTATTGACTGTTTGCACTTTTCCCGTACATTGCAGGCAACTGTGTTTCGCTTCCTGTCGTACTGCTTGAAACGTTAGCGTGCGAATGTTGGTACTCTTGCTGATTCACACGAGGGGTATGTACTGAAATAGCCGTTCTCATTTTCACGTTGGCTTGATTTTGTCCGCTTACCTGCCTCGTTTTGCATTTTATGCCCATCCCCGTGGCAGTCCTGGATGCGCGCCCACCTTTTCTAGCAGGCGCGATTGGGGCTTGTACCAAGAGCATGCCCTTTGATTGCGGATTACACTTGTCTCATTTTCAGTTAGTGATCTGATATAATCACCGATCGACAATCCTTAAAAAGTGAGTTCTTCGAGGTTTCTATTTACTCGGTTGCACATCCCTGCAGCTTACTCAAAACAGTTCACAAATGAGACGACTAGCAGTCCGTATGAAGGATTTGTCGCGCAACACTTTGCTTCCGACACTGGGTCTTGTTCTTGTCATGTGTATCGAGACGCCTAGTACTACACGGACAACGATCAAACGGACGAACTTGTTATTCAGCGACTTGGTTTTGCTACCTTCCCGCTCCCACAATTGACGATGTCAAGAGCTTGTTATTGCTGTACTAAAACATATCGACTAATGGGTCCTTGTTCTTTTCTGTCATCACTGGAAATTCGCGAACGATCAACGAATTTACACGAGTGTAAGGCTTTTGAACGCGTCCACGATTTCCATATTCACGATGCCGTACTGACTGAGCGTAGCTGACCTGTTGTTGGCTTACTCACTGGCTTTATCCCAACAGGAATTGCTTTTATGTTCTTCAAATGCATAGCGACTACAAGTCCACAATTTTCGGCGCTCAAAGTGTGTAAGATCTCTACTGGAATCAAAAGCCAATGGTCCGTGATTGGACTGTACTTCGAATCGGGTCGCTTTTTCAAAGTTGTATCTGAGAACTGTAGAACGGATTCCCATCCATCACAATTTATACTTAATCTTATATAATTGAGTTTACCCCACCTATTGGGTTCAAATAAGTCTGCTCGGCACTTTTCGTTGTGCAATGAGCTCATCCCTTCTCTCTGGCCCGTTCACATATAATCCTTGGTTTCGGCGCTTCTCACTACCTCGGCATTTAGAATTTTATACACTTATCCCACTTAGTTGCTTCGGGCTTTGCTTTGCACCATCGAAGTGCAAAGCTTTCCTCCAAGATTGGTTGGGATCGCCTCCTGCGCTGACCCTTGGTGGGGATCTACTAGAACTCATTCGGAAATTCAACTATCTGGGAAGTTGTATCAGCGCCCTTGGGATTGAAGATGAGATCACGAACCGTATATCAAAAGCTCGAAGTGCTTTTGCTAGTCTTCGCCACCTATGGCGGCGGCGCGACATCACTCTCCGCCCTGAAGGGTAAGTGTACATGACAGCGGTACGTTCGACCTTACTGTACGGTTGCGCAACCTGGCCCCTAAGATCGGCGGACATAAAGAGGCTAGTTACGTTCGACCATCGGTGCCTTCGCAGTTTGGCTCACATCTGGTGGGAACACCTCGTGAGTAACGCGCGTGTTCGACGCCTTGTTTACGGCACAGGAAAAGGAACTGAACCGCTCAGCACCGTCATTTTACGCACCAAGCTCCGATGGCTGGGCCACGTGTTGCGCATGCCAGCCCACCGACTCCCGCGACGTATGTTGTTTGCTCACCGGGGGTGTGAATGGAAGAAAAGGTGGGGTGGCCGAGCAATGACTTGGTCCAGAGGAATAAAGGCCCTCTCTTCGGAGCTGGCCTCGGTTGGAGCGTCACAGCTCCCCAGTTGAGGTCCGAAAGACGATAAACATGTTTGGCTGGATACACTTGCTGGCATGGCAAGGAGCCGACCTCAGTGACGTTCGTGCTGTGAGTTTCTTTGTCCCTCCCCATCCCTTTTATTCTGCTTTTCCAACCACGATCTCATTTCTTAGCGTAATATAATTTTTCTTGTTGCTTAGTAGCCGGCTGGTAGCTTCCCGGACCGATGCCCATACGTTGCTAGTAGCTCAGCTGATATGCAACTGTTGTATTTATTTTACTTTATGTATTGCGGCACAGTAGCTGTGTTTCCCACCTCTAACTAACGTGTATAATGATGATGATGACTTAGTCGTACAGTCTTCGTATACCGAGGACCATCTCAGCTCTCCTTCTACATTGCCTATCGGAGAAGTTGCTTTATGTGTCAAAACTCAGTGTGGTTCCTCCAAACTTTTAACGTCTGTTTATGTTCGTTACCGCTTTCATGTGCAACCTTTTACTGAACTGCTCTGCTCCACCAATAATCGGTTTCTCCCCTTCCCTCGTTGTTCACCGCTTTTTTAGACCAGGCGGATGTCGATCGGTACAAAGCCGAAGAGCACGACTCATCGGCTGCTTCCACAATTCAACCAACCCTTAACGGCAAGTCTGCTGATTCGAGACTGCGGGAAACCTCTTCTGAGCTCAGGTGAGCCGCTTCCTGTTCTCTAGTTGATACGTATAGAAAGCATTGGGCATCCTTTTCTATACGGAGGCACCGCATCTATCTTTTCGTCTTGTTTCTCCTACACCATTGGCTGTGTTTATGTTGACCAAACACTGCATTTCGAGCCATCGCAATGAGGCTGGTTGTGCGGTGTTTTGTGTGCTTCTGCGATCCATTGCGCTGTGCTGGGTGGTGCTTTTTTCACCTTCAGATCCACTCGTGCCAAATTGGTCAATGCTTAGAGGCCAGACAAACTAAGTCTCCTGACCCTCCAGGTTGGGCGTTGGATTGAGGGTGGATCCTCAACCCTTGAAGCGGACTCCTTGTAGCCTATTGCCAAAATCACTGCCTTGCGGTCAGGTTTTCGAACCAAAGGCTTTGGTTGAGAAGCCCAATCATTCTCCTGTCTAGACTTAGCCAACTTGACAGGATCTTGCCCATGCAGTACAATGACCCTACCTTCAAACCATTTCTTGTTGCTCTGGCCGCCACAGAGGATAATCATTGGCGCCTTATCTGCTGCATAGAGCAGGGTCGATACTTGTACGTATTCCACTGCTCAAACCTTCCTGTCCTCTGATTCACCTCGTACACTTTTTCACCCTTATCATCCCGTTCAAACTTTACTTTCATGCCCCCGTTTTTAACCCTTCCATTCTTGGCCATTTCCCATCTTGTTCTGATAGGCGCTTAGCTTCTCGTTTCAACTCACATGCAAACGCAGAGCGTCACTTCTGCTCTACCGACAAGCGCATGTCCAATCAACCGGTCAAAGTCAGCTCATCAGCTTCTCTTTGGAGCCCTCGATCTTCCCTCAGATTGGCATGCCTCAACATACGCACATTGTTACAGACCGGTCAACAGGCAGCACTTGCCTGAACATTAGAGCCCCTCTCGATAGATATCTTCTGCTTGTCGGAAACCCGCCTGCTTTGCCATCTTCTTCAGATCATATTAGCAGTGCTTTCTCATTGCCACTATCCGCAGGCGATGCAGCTTCTAGTACCGGCAAAGCCAGTGTTGTTCTTACCTTGAGTCCGCGGTTTGTAGATGCTCTGGCTGGTTGGATCCCAATCAGTAGCCGGATGTGTGCGGTCCGACTGACTGGCTCGTTCAAAGCTTCGAAGTCGCGCGCCGCTAATAGGAGTCATCATTGCCTCCCCACCCACAAACTGTAGCTCTGATTTGGTAAAAGACGATTTCTATCGCCAACTGGACGAGCTCCTATATCACAGAAGTGGCACGAACGCTGTGCTTCTAGCTGGGGATCTGAACGCTCATGTTGGAAAATCGTCCACTGACGAGCTACCTCTGTGCCGCCAACTGGGCCTAGCCTGCCGTAATGATAACGGTGAGCGGTTACTTCATTTATGTTAAGATATTCGTTTATTTGTCACGAGCGCTAACTTCTGACACAGCATCCATCGGAGGGTGACATGGCGTCCAATAGCTATGGATGCAAATCGATCACATTGCCTTCAGTTACCCCTGGAGTGGCTGCGTACAAAATTGTCGCTCGATTTGGAGCACATGTGTGGACACTGAACATGAACTTGCATGTGCTAATCTGCAGTGTCATTTTGGCAGACGCCCACGACGAGGATGGAGGCGCGTAGGCACCAGTCAACTGGCGACGTCAGATGTTCTGATTGCGTGTCCAAGTACGCCGGCATTCGGGTCGAGTAAGCGCTTACTGAATAGTTGTTGCTCACTGGTCGCATATTCACCAGACCGTACCAGCAGCAGACATATCTTCGTGTGGTAAACCTAATAGCCAACGTGGATATTGCGTTTCTTCGCGGTCTCTGGCACTAATCGATGTTCGCCGGCTCATTCCGGTTGGAAGCGAACACAATGAGACTCACGAAGACCTCAGGGCAAAACTGCTTGCTAGCCCAAAGTGATACCGCGAACTCTGCTTGTCTCATCTTGCATCAGAAATGAAATCGGCCGCTGTCCTTGGTAACCATCGGAAATTATTCAGTCTGATAGGGAAACGGTAGCAAGAGACCTGTTGTTAGTACAACAGTTTGTAACGAGAGTGGGCAATCTACCCACAACCTGTCAAAACGCTTGAAGCGTTGGGTTGAGCACTTTGATCGGCCAGAATTGTTAGCTTCCTCACTGGCCATTGATCGCCCTGCTCCATGAGCTGTCCCTTTGGATCCACGCTCTCGCTCAGAAGTCTGGGATCGGACTGCTGAACTTTAATAAGTCCGCGCGATCAGATGATCTTCATCCAGCCCTGTTCAAATACGGGGGCTCTGCTTTATTATTGATTTATGCGAATTACTTATGAAACTATGAGAGCAGGAAACTTTCCCAGCCGAGTACAACCGTTTCGTTATGGTCCCAATCTTTGAGGGAGGCTCACTTTCGGAATGCGGCAGCCATAGGCGAGTCAATCTGGTTTCCGTTACCTCCAAGTTGCTTGCCTCTGTCATCATTCGCAGACTGGCACTCTGAAAGCAGATTCGTAAGGAGCAAAGCTAGGTTTTGTCGAGGTCGGGTCTGCATCGATCATATCTTCACTTTGCGTCAACTGCTGGAACACCGCCATGTTCATTGGTGGCCCACCGTAGTCGTGTTCCTTGACATCAAATGTGCCTTCGATTCGGTGGCTCGATGTCAGCTTTGGAATTGTCTACTCAGGAAAGGTGTGCCCAAGAAATATGTAAGTATTATCCGAACGCCCTGCGCGCATAGCTCTGGCAGAGTGAAGGCTTATGACAAGTTGTCGCTGCCCTTCAATATCTCCCGCTGTCACCTTTCCTCTTCAACTTCGCTATTGACGAAGTCACGGCCACGAGTTAGAAGATGTGGAGCTGCTCCCATTGGAACGACTTCTTGACTTAGAGTATGCTGATGACATTGCCCTCATCTGTGACAGCTCACAAACATGCCAAACGGCACTGGATAGATTAGCACTGGCTGTCTGCCGTTTCGGACTATACTTTGCATCTACGATATGCAAAGCTTTTATCGAAGATTTGCAAGGGTCGCCTCCTGCACTGAGATTTGGTGAGGATCAGCTAGAACTCGTTCAGAATCGAAAACGAGGTCACATCTAGTCTCTAGTATGTCAACTTTTAGGTCCGATAAGTTTTATCGAAAAAAATTTCTTAACTTATCACTCATATGGTCCTGATTTTCTCACTGGAATGGGAATATTTGCTTTTCTGAAGCTCAGCATTGCACGTGATTCTTTAAAACGTTTGCTACCTTTGGCACCGGCGCGACTTCACCCTCTCCCTGAAGGGTAGAGTTTACAATGCAGTTGTACGTTCGGCTCTTCTGTACTGTTGCGAAACCTGGCCCATTAGATCGGCAAACATAAAGAGGATAGATACATTCAACCACCAGTGCCTTTGCAGTTTGGTTTATATCTGGCGGGAACACCGTATGAGCAGTGAGCGTGTTCACTGCCTTGTTTATAGCACAGGAAGAAGAAGTGAACCGTTATATCACCTACCAATCTCCGCTTACTGGGCCAGTTGTTGCGAATCCCAGCCCACTACTTTCCGCGACATGGCTCACATCTGGTGGGAACACCGCGCGAGTAACGCGCGTGTTCGACGCCTTGTTTACGGCACAGGAAAAGGAACTGAACCGCTCAGCACCGTCATTTCACGCATCAGGCTCCGATGGCTGGGCCACGCGTTGCGCATGCCAGCCCACCCACTTCCACGACGTGCGTTGTTTGCTCACCGGGGATGTGGATAGAAGAAGAGGAAAGGTGGCCAAGCGATGACTTGGTCAAGTGGAATAAAGGCCCTTAGTTCCGAGTTGGAGCCTCTCGGCTTCCTGGTTAGGGACCAAAGGACAATGAACACGTTTGGCTGGATACATTGGTTAACATGGCTAGGAGTCGGCCTCAATGGCGTGTGTTGTGAATATTTTTGTCCCTCCTCTCCCGCCTAGTCTCTCCTTCTAATCACGATTTCATTTACTAGGCATAATGTAACTATTACTTTGCGGCACAAAGGTCCGCTAATAGTTCTCCGGAACAATGTCCATCTGTTACTGGGGACTCTTACCTCTGTTGCATTTTTCTTCTTATGTATTGCAGCACAATCGTTGAGGTGTTTTCCACCTCTAGTTAACGTGTATAATGGTAATAATGATGATTTGAAGTCACGTGCGAAACACTCGCACTTCTACGTTTCGTCTTCGTTAATGCACGCTTGAGGTTTGTGAAACAAACTTAAGATTTTCATCGTTTGGCCGGTCCTTCCTTGCTGAGCTTGTATTTCCGTACTCCTTTCTCTGTTGATCGCCGTGGACTGCTTGACTTACACATCGTTCTAACCGTGAATCTATCGATAATACATGTTTTAAACTTTTTGATAATTTTCTGCATGGCCTCTGTCAACTGTACTCCATGGTGTTCGTCTCAAATGATTAATCATTCCCCATCTGTCTTTGAAGCGTTAGTAGGGAAAAAGAGCGTACTTGACTGTTATTTTGTAAGCTTTCACGATACGTTATTTTGCCACACCGTTTCAAAATTTGCCTAGCTATGTAGTCGCATTCCGTTTTACTTACAATACTCCCATTATTACGCATCGCCTTCGCATACTCCGTCGAACATGACAACGAAAGGCAAGAAATCCAAAAAAGGATGCGAGATTCTCGGTAATATGCGTCAAACGAGAACAGCTGTGTCTAATGGCTCTACCAGTTGTTCTGCCTGAACTCTCAGTATTATGGCCTCTTGCTGTATTATTCTTAATTTGACTGTTTGTGGCGTCCAAGCATAAATGACAAGTGTGAATTTAGATTTACGTGCACTGCTCCTGTCTTTTCGAAAATTGGAACCCAACGATATCCCGCTTCTATATCCTCGAGTGCGCATGTTTTTACTGCAGACAGTATTAAATTTCCATCACTAAAAACCTTCGTAAGCCACTTGCAATTGCTGTGAGTATCCACAGTCTGGAGCGTGCACGACAATTTTGGATTGTTCACCGAGTTTTGTAACCAGGCTAAGCGACTTCGTTAGTTGGGCTTCCGGAGTCTAGTTCGAAGCTCCTCGTACGCCACACCGATTCGACTTAAAGAACTTTTGCTTACTCAGGAATTCAGAAATCCGGCAAACGCGTGAATTCCTTGAAGTCTGGCATGCGTTAAGCTCTTGGATCTATGGATGATGTAGGACCGTGTGCTCTGTCGATCGTTGTATCATACCGATGTAGTGTATAACAGCGGTGTTGCCTGAATCGTCAGTTTATATGCTGAGCAACGTGTCTTCACGGTTATTCTCGTAGACAGCATACATCCCATTCGGCCACAAATCGAACCCCTTTTCGTGATGTCCTCTGCTTCCCTGGATCCTTGAAAATCCTTCTGCTCTACTCACGTGCCATGTAACCTGTTGGGCCCGACCGACCGACTGGCGTGCAATTGCTTTTCCTTCTACTCCGGTCTTCCTCAGCTATCACCCTCCAAGCATACTAGCAGTTTCACACGTTCATCGTGAAGATACTGATCATTATTTCTGACTATTATGTCATCTGTCAGGCATCTTCAACATTGTCGCCTTGGTTTATGCGGGAATCGATAAAAGTATATCTTTCTACTACTCCGTCTGAAGTGACATTCTTATTTTCTATCTTAGCTCCGCGTCAAAAAGAAAGGACCCTCATTCTTGGATCAGATCTAATTTGATTGTCAGATTCCTTGATAAACACTATCACCACGGTAGATATTACAAACACAAGGTTAGCTTCCTACCCAACGTTGCGCATAATCGTTTTTTTTAGGTGAAGGTAATTGGGGTGGACTCAAATCGTTGCACCTGTCAAACTGAAGATGGACGAATAATAGAAGGTTGGTCGTTAGTATCAATTTCTCTTTCATTCTACTCGCTCTTTCTCAACAGATGTTCAGCCTCGATATTTACAGACTGTGGTACCCAAAGCCCAGAACTCTGAGGTTATGATTCTTCGAGGTTCAAGGGAGGGTGAGGTGAGTCCTTTCAGTAAGGCTGAGGCAGTTTTGAATGATGGACACAGATCACGTAAACTTGGTCAGCCCCTCAAATGCTAATTGATCATGCACTTGCTCTAAGCATCTTCCAAGTACTCTTCACCACAGAGATGGAGAGCTTTCCGAAATTCTTTTGAAATGAACCAAACACAATTAGATGATTTTGGATCTGTTCATCGCTCTTTTCAATTATCCGTCTCCTCACGGAGTTAGCAGGACCAGTTTACAACCATGTTCCGTTTTACCCCCAACCATTGTGAACTCCTTAAGTGTCTTAGGCTTTATAGGGCCACGCTCTTTATCAGCAGAATATCTTGAGTCACCGAAGTCATTTCAATTATCTGGGTAGTTTTCTTACCATAGATGATCACATCACTGAGGTTGCTTCATGTATCAGTAAGACCCATATGGCTTTTCACAGCCATAGAGACATTGAAATGTAAGCGTTCTGGTCAAGAGAAAGGTTTAATACGTCACTGTACGGCCTTTATAACTTTAATATGTTAGAGGCCTTGCCACATCGATTTTCAGATACTAGGAAACCGGCCGTCTTAGTTCCCTATTACCTGTGGAGCACTGTTAACATCCACCAGTTAGGGATACTTGAGATCATGATGAGCGCAGGTCTATTGTGCTGATTGGCTCGTGTCCTCTGCATGATAAATACCGAAAATAGAAAGCTAAAAAATATACATCTGTAGTGCTCCATCGATATATTCTCGGGAACGCACGCAGAATAAAATTATTTATTGCCACATCCTTTCAACGCAGTTCGGCTGTGCGACGAAATCTTAATCGTGTGCGATGCTTTCTCGCAACCTGTACTCCCGCAAAGTGGACGTCTGGGAAAGTATTGAATAACGACACCAGTTTTGCCTCGATTTGCTTCTCGGGAAGACTGTTCCAATGTTTCACCATTCATCGCTCGAAGCATAAAGGGTGAGCCATCAGCTTTAGGTCCGATACCGCATGCTGATGCCGGTGCCAGCGGATGCTGCTTGTTGCGCGCACATTCAGCGGCAGCCTCAACATGGGGAAGTGACCCAGATGCAATATCCGGTGTGTCATGATGAGGTAAACTTTAAACCGACGATTCGACAGGGCGTACAGTCCCAGTCGTCTGCATCAGTCTACGTACGATATACCCAAAAGCAAAGGAAACGTAACACCAACAGCACGTCGGTACGTCTTAGCAACACTTCGCTGTTACACAACCACCAGTCGCGCGCAACCTATAGGTACTTGCGACGTCTCCCTTAGCTACGCAAATTTCCATTGGCAACCTGTTGATTCCAAGACCGATCTTTCATCCAGCCAGCCGCCATATCAGTACATTAAAATTAAACAACAATGATTTCGGCACCGAATTGCGATGTGTGCAATTACCGCAACTTACAAGGATAACAATAGTAGGCAAATGTGGTTGAGTGCTAGCAGAACACAGTGCAAGTTAAGAAGTACGTACAATTATTAAAAGGCAGTATGAATGTCAGCAGTTAAATGCAAGAAACTGAATGCAGTAACACCACTGACTGAGTGACTGCGCCATGTTTGGTAGAGTCGCTGACTACACCTGCGGACCGTTACGGAGTTCCCATCCATGAAGTCCGCAAGCACTAGCCTGGCCAAGTCTCACAATTACTACAAGCTTCTATGCCACTTCATGAACTGGCCACCTCGTGCTGTCGTCCAACGGGGTGCGGCCACGGCCTATACTGCACGCCGAAGAAGTCAATCAACGGACGTACAAAGGACATAGTCTAACCAATGTAAGCAATTAATAATAATAATAGGTATATTTCTCTTCAAGTGAGAATCTGCATCCATATTTGGCACAGATTATATATGTACAGGTGATACCATGCTCTTGCATGGGCAATATGTTGTTGGAGCGATTAAAAACTAACGGTAAATTCCTCGTCGGTGCAAGGCACAGTCCAACTAGGTGGTACGATACTTAATGTACGGCAGAATCGCAAGGAGATGCTTTATTTGTCGGATTCTCCAAAGTAGTTCTCAAACTATTTTTGGCGGACATGCCCACTTGATAAGTTGAATCTTTCGGGAAGACTAAAAGGTTTTTTCAAAAATAACAAGTACAGATAAATCCAAATGTATGAGTGAAGTTCTACGGCCATCCATAGAACTGTTACCTGGGGATCTGCTTCCATGTGGGTTATTCCCTCGATGGGTTTCACCCGCACTTCCATGCGCAATCTGGCCGTGTGCCGGTGTGACTCTTAAAGCATGTAGGTCATGGCCTATGTAATTCATCTTTAGGGCTGTTTTCCCGGGTATATACTGTGAACAGTCAACTCATCTGACCCGTAGCATCAATCGGTTTTTCTAGTCAAGCGCTTTTTCCTCACCATGGAATCCATGGTGATGCGTCTTGCATGGATATAATTATTGGTGTTGGAAGCTTCAATCCGACAACTCAGAATATCGACCTACTCATCACCAACAATGAAGTAAAGAAGAATAACAAATGTGGAGGTGGAAGAGTAGTAATAGTAATGAGATCTACTAACGAAATTGCATGTTTTGCTTCTGCGCAAGCAAGTTTGATCGATCAATTTAAACAGAGGGAGTGCCCAAAACCGATAACTGCTCGAAGTATCGATGTGCAAAACAGCTCTGGGAAGAATTTCCAAGTTCATCATCATTTGTGTGCGATCGAAAAATGCAAAGCTTGATAGCGCTAAGCAATGAGACTTGCTCTCTGTTCCTGCGCTGTCATCCCTTGGGGAAAAAAGTTTTAACATTTCAGTCGGCGTGTTTAAAAAGGTCAAAGTAACCAAAAGTAAAGAATAGTTTATATCTCGATAGTGCGGGGCACAGCCCATGTGGTTTATCCGATCAGATTTGTAATTGGATCGTCAAGAAGAGTGTACCTCCAAGTCTTTCACGAGAAAAATGTTTGCGACTCGATGTGTCAGTGCTTCAACCATATGGTGCAGCAAAGGTGTGTGAGAAGTGACAGGTATCGGTAATCAATCTGTACTTTGTTCATTGATACCTCCAGACAAAAAGGAGTTAGTTAGATGTGCGAAAAAGGTCCTTTTATGAATAAAAAAATATAGAAGCGACTTGACTATGAATCAGAGATTTTTGTCATTTTCTGTATTTCACCCGGCCCTTCCTCATACAACCTGGTTATACTCACGTCTATGTTGAGCATGTCGCTCACTTTATTCATTGTCTATTCCCTATTACCTAGGGTACGAAAAATACCCTTTGAATCCTTCCTTTTCGCATTTTTTGGTCAGTTGTTCCACATAACTGCGTAGCGGTTAAAAAAAAATTGAATTTTACGTTAGTTCGTGTTTTTTTTCGATTTGGTACTTGTGTCTATTCCTTATATTGTAATTGAATTAAGCTTGAATTACACCACCGGGGTCTGAGGTAAAGACATGAAGCTCAGGTTTACTGTTAGTCTCCTAAAACAAATGTGTTATATGTTCAGCACACATCAGCGGTCATAGTAAGTTAGATTATCAGGGTTTCTCATTAGTTGCTTCGTAAATGGGCGCTGTACATTTTCTATTACCATTCTGTCACTTTTTCTCATGTTGGAGTATATTGATGAGCAATATTCTATTAGGGGACGAATACGAATTTTATTTGGTAGATTTTGACTTCATTCAAAATGAAGGCTTTCATGATTATATATATTATATATATAATATATTATTGTTATTATTATCAATAACATACTGCACATGTTCGGCAAAATTCAAGGAATTTCGCGTAGTGTAGCCCAAAATCACTACTTGTGAGACAGGATAGTGTTTTACCGTCTAGCATCAAACAATTTGGTGCAATACTGCCCCGATAGCATATGTAGTTGCATTTATCGGATGAAAGTCCGATGTTCAAATTGCTGTACCAAGTTTCCATCTTGTGCAGATCCGCTTGTATGTAATGATATTGTCCGAATCGAACTCATGCTATTTAATGTCATTGGTGAATGCAGATGATTTGTCGTATCTGATGACATCGATGACGTCGTTTATGCACATCCAAAACAAAAGAGACCCTAGGTCATTTCCTTGGATCATGCCACTTGTGCATTTTTTTACTTGTGGAAGTATTGCATAGTATTTTGACTGCCTGATGCCGACTAGTAAGGTGCGATGATATCCAAGAGTGTAATTTGCCAGTTATGTCTAAGAAATGCACTTTTGATGTAACCTTTCCATGTGGTATCAGATCGAACGCTCTACGCATATCAAGCATCATGATGATCAGGTGCCTACCACCGTCAGTGGAACGAGTAATAAAATTGTACTTAACAACTAATACATGACCGTGTTCTCCAAATTCCACGCTGGGAAGTGTTGATCTAGTTCAGGGACAACAGAAATTTGACGATTTTGGCTTATATTATACCGTTCCCACTATTCTACACAGATGGGTGATATGGTTGATGTGCCGATAGCTCGTGTGTATTTCACTTGGATCGTTTGTATATATTGGTGTAGCCAGCTCATATGCCCACACACCTGGAACAACCCCAGACTCCATGGATAACGTAAAGTGTTTTGAAACTGTGTGGGGACATCGGGGCTTCCGAATTTGAGCACAGCAGACGGTATTCCATCCGAACGAGGATAAAAGCTCGACTGCGTTGAGTTTATCAGACTTCTTATGCCCGATTGCTCAAATTCAATGGTTCTGATGTAACCCTCATTTTTAGCGGGGTTGTTTACCATCGGTACTATGCAGGGCTGTATGAGAAGCGATGAGAAGTATTCATTGAAAATCTTGCACATCTTAGCCTGGTTTGTAATAAGGCTGTTATCAGGCCGTATTATTGGAAGTTGCTACGTAATTCGTGTAGTTGCTCCTAAGCTGGAATAATCTGGTCATTTTCTTTGCTTTATTACAGGAGGCTAATGCATTGGTCTCGTCTTTGAGAAATTTTGTGGACCGATTTGTTTCTAAGCATGACATTGTTTGATTTGGTTAAATTAACA